AAAAAGGAAGACCTGCCTATATCTTACACCAATTTCTACTTTTATCTCTTCTTGCATCCCGCCTTTTATTCTTGTAAGTATTTCCTAAGCACATACTACAAATGTCCCACTTACCTTTCTCCAGTAAAACCACCTGAAGCAACTGAGCTACAAAGGCACTAGCTGCTCTATCCATTCTTTAAGGGACACCTATTACCAACTCTGAATGCATTTTTGTATTTATCTAATGCTTGTTCTTTCACTGTCATCATCTTTTTCAGGTTAATATGCATTAGACATGGTCCCATTATGAAATCTCGTGATGTAACCGACTTCTTTACATAAACAAAAACTGGCAGAGATGGAGGAGCATAGATCAATGCTGATCAGTTGATCCCAGCTCTTAGACCCAATACAGTCACTAATTCTGAGGGAGCTTGTATTTGTTTCTGGGCTTTGTGCTTATGACCATCTCACCATAATGAATGCTGTCCTTAATGCAGAAGAATTACTTATTTTGATTTTTAAATGTTCTCCAATACATTTTTGTGGCAGGAGGTGAAGAAATGTTCGAAAGGTAACTTTGAAATGCTTTGTGGAATGGTTTTCATTTCACAAAGAATCACTGAACACTACCCAAATTCTGCTAAACACAATGGTAGTGCAACTTGTTGAGGGCATTGCAGGATGCATCCCTCAATGGCTGGGAAAAGCTCTTTTAGAGAAGCTCATGATCTAATAAAGTTCTTATCATTGTTCATGAAGAGGGAAGGACTTGGCTAAAGTAACATCGAATTTACGCAAACACACCTCGTCACCCCACTGTAGCTGGTTTTTTGTTTTGGGTTGGGTTTTTTTTTGTGTGTGCGCTACAAATGAGAACTGGCGTTTTTCCAAGGAGGTGTGTCAGAGTTAAACGAACATGGCACTGAAGTATCCTATTTGTTGTAATAGTCTTGCTGGAGACCTGAAGGTGTGTCTCTGCCTTTATAAATACCGCGCTGCTTTTACAACTACCTCTGATTCTTTTGAAAGAGGCGAGTTGCATCAGGAGTTGCATTTGGATATCTCCGAGCCTTGTGTGAGGTATGTCTTTTAGTTATCTTACTTTTGCACTATTCCACTTGCAACAGAAGGTTACTGTCACATCATTATTCATTTTAATGTTATTAGTTGCTGTATTTCCAACAGAACTGTAAATACTACATGATGTTCTCTAAAGAGAGTTTTATGGAGTGAAAAAACTCTGCGTATAGTATAAGGCATGAAGCAAGTCAAGTAAGAACTATGCAAAAGTAGGACCTGCTCACATCTGCTGCACCTATGTATTCTAGATTCTAAATTTATGTAACTAAAGATATTTGCCAATAGCTGAATGTTGAAATAGGTTCCTTATTAGCGTGCCTACACATGAATTTCTGCTTTCTAACACGGAAACTTGGCTACAGAAACAGCTATGATGGAAACGTCTGAAAAGTACATTTAGGGATTTAATCAACTAAATATCAGATTTAAACCCTCTACTATTATGGTATGCTCTGATCCTGAAAGCTGCTTCATAAAGAGAAACACCTGCAGAAATAAATGTGCTCTCTGCAGCCGCAGGTATCAGTTTGATAATAATTTGCTAACTAGCTACATTTCAAAACTGAAGTTGTATATTTGTCCCTTGAATTTGGTAGCTTTAGACATAGCCCAGTATACTGCAGGTGTCTTCAAAAGCAAAAAGATAGTTCTGTTTGTTTAGCAGTCAAGGCAGCAAAGAATGCATCAATAGTTACTTTTTGGTGTCTGGAAAGACTACTAGCTTTATTTTTTTTCAACAAAACCCTGAAATACTGGCATAACCAGTGAATTACGATAATTTTCAAGAAATAATTTTGCTTAACTTGAACCAAATGGTTTCCTTTCTGTCTGGCATAGTTTTGAAGAATAGCCAGAGGTTGGAGTCAAAATAGCTTATGTGCCATTTACAAAATGGGAGATCATGGGAACAACAACTGCTTTATATGTTATAGTTTAAGATATCCATCTGAGATTGACAAATCCGAGGTTCAAATTCCTTCTCTGACTGCAGAAGAGATTTTAATTAAGGTACCTCAGTCACTAGGCAGTAACACGTCCAGGGAGTGACTCTCTTTTGTTCCACATTGCATAGATAATTAAGTAATTGGATCAGAAGGACTTACTCCATAGCCATCTACAGTTCTCAAGGATAATATGTAATGGTTCTAGAAACCAGGTATTATTCACATAAAGGACAGAGGATTTTGCCGGTAACATCACTTTAATAGGTATCAAAGAGCAGTGTAATACCATGTCTGAAATATTGCAATTGTCAAATGGAGTCCAGCATTAAGTGAAAATGGTTTTATATTTTTGTGTGTGTGTTTGTTTTGAAGGCAGATAACAAGCAAAGCAGAGACCATGAGGATCAAAAGCTTTGGACTTTTTTGTGTGTTGATTCTGGTCTCACAGATGCTACTAGCCAACTGTGAAAGACAGAAGGAAAGGAAAAAGGGAAGACAAGGCATAGAAGACGGTGGAAAAAACCAAACTGAATCTAACCAAGAAAATGAAAAAGGGCGGAAGTCAAAAGGAGGAAAAGCATCTCCTAAAGGCAAGTTTAAAACCAAAGAAAATGCTGAGTGCACCTGGGCAGTGACCGACATGAATGCTATTACTGTGCATGTAGAGTGCAAGCATGGTGACAGCGAGTTCTGGTGCGAATTCTCTGGAGACCCTTCCACCTGTCCACACTATGCAGCAAACCAAAAATCCTACTGGAAACAAGTTTCCCGATCCCTAAAGAAGCAGAAGGAGATCTGTCAAGACCCCAAAAGTGTCCTAAAATCTAAAGTGTGTAGGAAAGGCCCACGAAGCGCTCATCTCAAGTTGACCCGATCAAGCCTACTAACATCAGTGGGTCCTGCGAAAGGGAACACAAGTCATCATGCAAAAGAAGTTGTTCAGAGCCCAGCAGCTGCCTCTGTGACTGAAAAAAAGCTAGAACACAGTCCTCAAGACTGTGTTGAAGACATAGATTATATTGATCAGAAAAAGGTGGCTGAGGAATACTGTCCAGAAAGCTTGCTTTCCTTCTGCAACTTTTTTATCACAATGGTGCAAGACAAAAAATGCTGAGGTTTCTAAAAAGTGCTTCTAAAGCTCTGTATCATGAAAGTCCAGTCTCATCTAAGTTACTGCAAACTATTTCAGATTTTATTGTCATGTTATATAGTGTATATAAGAAAAAAAGGCATATATTTTTCTGATTTCGTATATACACAACAGACTAAACTTGACATAGTTGAAGATGTTATAGATTTTATTTGCATGTAGATTGCTACACAGGTGTTACCAATGGATGTTACGTACTCTACACAGAAGTATATAAGTAGTCTCTTTGCCCCTCTTTGAGCTGTGCTAGCCAAAGTGATGAATTCAGTGCTATGCACTTCTTGGTTATGTACAATACTTTTGACTTAAAAATTATTAAGAAAAATAAACTTCAAAATACGTTCAAAATATTCTCTCTGTGTTTAACTAGATTTCTCTGTAAGTGCTAAACCTTTGTCAAAGATTGATCTTTCACAGCATCTAGGCAAAGTGTTGCTTATAAAGCAGTTTTAAAAATGCTTCTGCAGCTTTGCAGACTTCAGGTTTCTTGGCCAGTGCAAGAAAGATTTTGATAGAGAACTACATTATCATTAGTTTTTCATTATTGTGATAATGAAAAGCAACAAGATGTTTAGATTTTTCCATAATTTTGCAAAGCTTCAGCTTTCCAATCTCATCAAAGGATGCCAGAAAACTTTGCAAACTTCAATTCTTTCTTTTCTCCTATAGTATGAAGCAAGTTATACTAATTTTCTGGCAGGTAAACAGAGATGCAGAAACAAAATGACTCATACAAGTTTGTACATAGGCCCAGGACTGGACCCCTTACTCAAGCAGCTAAAGCACTTGTGCTCAACACTGCCTGGATGTTCTGCTGAAGTTCCATTTTCTGTTATCTTTATGTATGGACAACACTAATAAATACTTTTTTATGCATTAGACTTCATCTGTATTTAAAAAAAAAAGAAATCCAAACTCTACAAGAATAGAGATTTTAGAAAATGTAAGGCTAAATAATAACAACTGAGCTTTGCTAATATTTGAAACTCTAGCTGGAAGAAATGTAATATACATTTTTCTGGTGGCACACAGCTGGGAAGGATGGTCTCCTACCACAGCGGTCCACTTGGAGAAACTTGAACTTTCATGAAATACAATTTTCCTGAGCATTTCTAGCAAATTAAAATAATATTTCTGTTTCTTGAGAAAATATAGGCAGTTCCCTTCTGTAATTATCTCACTGCTAGAATATTTGAGAAAATATTTGTAAGATGTTATGAGTAACTCACCTCCTGCAACTTCCCTCTTTTCCTTCGTTGTCACATATACTCACTTTTTTATTTAAATGAGCATGTCTGGGGAGGGCATTTTAATGCTACTCTGTCTTGTTGCTACAACAATAAAGGCCCTTGCCATTATTTAATATCAGTTAGTATTTTCTTTGCAATGAAGAATTAACTTAGCAAAAATACTTAAATTTAGATGAAAGTCCTCAATAAAAGAGGAAACTGCTACTAAAACACAACTTTGCTTTTTTTTTCGCTTGTTAGTAGGAATCAAGTCTTCTTACACAGGGTTGAAATGATTTTAGCAGAGTCGGGAATAAGGCATGGCATCAGCTTGGGCATTAGCTACAGTATTGTAAAGAGGACAGTATTCTGGAGGCTCTCATAAGTACTTCATATGATATTCATTTACATCACATTTTTTTGCTACTTACAATATTGTGATCTCCATGTGACTAATCACTTGAAAGTGGGATGCTGCTACTAGTCAGGCAAACTGTGTTTGAGAAGGATTCAGCTGTATTTTACCGAGTCTGAATGGCAAAAAAAGAAGCAGGTTCTTCTTACTGAATTTCCAGCCTCTGCGTGCCCTGTGGAAACACTGGGTATTACCAGGCTGTGCAGGATAAATTCTGTTAGACTGATGCCCACATCAAAGCAAAATTCCAGTAAAAAGGGGCATCAACACTAACTGCTATGGAGGCTGGAAGACACAGCTATTCTGGTGCCAAGCAGGGTGGAAAACCAGCTACCAGCTCCTTATTATTAAGGTAGATGCGTAAGCATTGAAAGTGCAGGTGAGTTCCAGCTGCTAGATACTTTGTGTGTTGGTCTACACCGCTTTGCATTAGGAGATCGTTGAGATAAGAAAGTCAAAAGATGCAGAGGAAGGATTAGGAGCACACATTTGGCTCAAGCAATCAAACACTGTAGCAATTAATTATGAGTATCTAATCTGGTATGCAGACATCTGTATAATAGTCCCAGATAACAACCAGAGCACTGGGCAGGCCTGGCTTAAGAGGCTCAGTTGCTCCAGATGTTTTGGAAAATGTCCAATCCTACCTACCCTTAGCTGCTGTTACCCTCACAAGTACTAAGGTAAGTACTTCGTTGCCTGAAGCGTGATCCGCCCCGCTCTGGATTGCTAGGAGGCACTGCTCTCCCTGTGGCTGCCAGCCAGCCAGGCACAACGAGTTTGCAGTGAGATATCCCAGAGCAAATTCCAGCTAGGGATTCCAGAGCTGTGAATTACATCTCCCGTGTGGAGGACTGTCAGCACCTGGACCCACATGTGGGAGCTGCACGCTCCTCTCCAGGGGTGCATTACATTTCTGCTGCTTCATCTTCTTGTTTTCTTTCAGGACTGACTTTTACCTTCATGCGTGGCTCTTTGCAGGAGGAAAACATGCTCAATCTCAACAGTTCCTGGATGCATTTCACCTGTGATGCATGCAGTTGTGCCAGTATCCTACAAGGACAGTGTGGAGCATCAGGAGAAAAAGGAGATCTCTGTGCAAGCCTTTTTGCTTGAAAGGTGGGCTAGTGTGAGAGTGCAGATCTCAAAACTGTCTCAACCAAATGATGGGATTTTTAACATCCATGGGTATGCAGTTTTGGCTGTTCTTCAGAAGGGCACATTTCAGAATAGCAGGGTCTGAGGCAAATATATCTGGAGTCTAACTTCATGAACAGCCTTTTCCATAATTGCACAGACCACAAGTCTATGGCTAAGCGCATCTAAGTTCTCATTGCACTTACCAAGCCTTGTGTTTCAGTCCTACATCTACAAAGCAATCACTTGACAGCAATTATGTATGAGCCGCTTTCTTCTGGGCATTTACAGAGCCGGTTAGGTCAGTATAACTTTGGTGCTTCTGGAGTCGAGCTGGTTAGGATAAATAAAACATTTCCTGGCATTCTTCATCTTAGGATATGTGGTCGTTATGAAAAAGTTCACAGCTGATCTCTATGCTGTGCCTCTTTTCCCCAGGTGCACCAGTTGTCATTGTGTCAGAACTTCACGTTTGAATAACTTGGAATAATGGTGGTAGTGACTTTTCTAACACCTTCTATAGTAGGGCAAGTAGGAACAGAGTGAAAGAAAACAATGAATGGATTTAAATTATGTCTGTGCAGCCCAAGTCCTTTGTCCTATCATATTGAAAACATAAGGATCTCTGCTTTCTTAGTGTCAACCTGAGTTATGGAAAATCAGCCCCATTTTACACCTGGGGAAATGAGGTATAGGAAAACTGGATGGCCTTGACAGTCACGGGGAGAAAATCAGTGGCTGAATCAGGAACCAAACAGAGGTCTTCAGAGTTCCAGTGGTCCCCTTCTCATGCCTCGTGATTAGATCATTCTGCGCAAGAACTACATGCATTTGTTCTTGAAAATATCGAGCTAACTTCTAGGTATTTTAAAATTTTTAGGAATATCTTTGGGAAAAAGTAGCTTACTTTCTAGGCAATATAGTTTGTTTCTCCAGACAGCCCTGGGCATTATAATTTGAATATTTATTTCAAAAGAAGGATAGGACACTCATTCTAGCTTCAGAGATAAAGAATTTTCAGGGAGTTTCCCTGCTCTTGCAATATGGAATACTTACACATTTGGTAACTGCTTTAGACTATGGATGACCTTTTTTAGGTGGACCTAACCCCCATACACTCCCACAAATTCTCAAATTCTCACCAAACTTTGGAGAGTCAAGAAATGTATTTTTTTTAAAAAGGGAGAGAAAAATTTAAAAGAGTTTTTCCAGAGTTATCTCCTAACACGACAGTCTTATCTAGAAAATATTAGATGTATCTTTGTATTCACTTAGGAAATGGGGAGACATTGTTAATGCCCAGGAAATAGCTCTGGCAGTACTACTTAAGAATCTGTAAAATTTCAGCTCCTTTAGCTTCAAATTTTTTATTCTTTTATTATTTTCTGCAGTGTCTTTTCTATTCACTTTCACACACAATTTCATTTGAATGAGTTTCCGTTCCTTTTGCAACCTTCTTTATTCATTTACCACTTTGGCGACAGTACAGATTACATATCTAATCTCATATGTTGCACGACTACTTGTAGGAGAATAGAGCTGAATGACTCAACCTTCCTGCTTCCAGGAGGGCCCTACCCTCCTCTGCCCCTGAGGGGGCCAATGAGTACCTACCGCCTGATATCACCTCACCTGAATTTGACCAACCATAGCGGAGACTGACTGTTAAGACAAGACACATTTTACACGGCCGTGCTCAATCCATATAGACATAGCTGAGCCTAGATAATAAATTCCACTCCCTTTTCTGCCTTTACCTTATTTTTTTTTCTGATGTTGCCCTAAGCAAGGCAGCTCAATACTTGCTGGTAGCTGCTGCACCTCACCCATGCCTTTGCCTGGTTTTCATTCCATTTCAATATATTGTATTGTTTGTTCCTCTAGGCTATTTCCAAGAGTGATACCACTTTGATTAGCACACTGGGAATTGATCAAATGGAAAAATCCAGCTTTAGGGATGG